CCGATCCGATCATTTGATTTTGACAATTTGCCGATACCGATTTTTTTCCCGATCCGATCTTTATGCAATGCATTAAGAGAGAAAAAAAAGTATTCAAGTTGTCCCTTAAGGTTATTTTTTTATTTAAATTGGATATTCTATCCAACATGGATATAGCTTCTTTCTTTCACAGCAGCATTGGATCAGTTCAGTTGTGCAGCATTGGATCAAAACAAAATAAAGCTTATCAGTACTCGTTAGCTTACTGCTACAATTAGACACTGCGCCCACTCTGTTGCCAGATTTGAGAGAAATAATCAACCAGGTCTATGAAAACAAGCCCCAAAGAAGCAACACATACATGATGTTGTGTCATTTGAAACTAAAACTAAGGCCTCAGGATGACTTTAAGACTTGAACATGGTCATTTTTGTTTTGTAACATTGAATAAAAAAAGTATTTATTAAAAAAAAAATCCCGATCCCCGATTTTTTCTCTCCCGATTCTGATCTTTTGAAAATCACGTGATCGGATCGGGACATCTCTAGTTTGAACTGATTTAAGAAAAAACACTGACACGCCTTTTAATGTAAGCAAAGATAAACCAATCTTATTCCAACCACTAAATACGCATAAGAAAACTGTATGGGCATCGCAAGCTAACACATATGTGTGGATGTGTAATCTGACACACTCAGCCGTATTCTTTTATTTCTTTACTCTTTTCAAAAACACGATATCTTCTATCTAGTTTTAACGCTGGTGTTCCTTCCTGCTGTGTGCTCAGGCTGGTCCTGGTGCGGCGGGAGAAGCTGGTCTCGAACCACATGACCCGCCTGAAGGCCCGGCCACGGCAGATGGACGTCGACCCCGAGTGTCTGCGCTGGACCCCCGTCATCGTCACCAACACGGTGGTGTCTGACGGAGACGAGGAGGATGACGAGGAGGATGAAGAGCCAGAGGAGGACAAAAGCAAGGAGGTAAATGTGTAGAAAGGACACAATTCGAGTAATATCAATCCAACATTTTAAAATGTTTTGACTGATAGTGATGATGGTTTCAGTGTTGAATCCTCACACAGTCACATGACCTTGGTATTGTAACTCAATATCGTAAACATGTAACAAGAAATGCTCTTAAGTTGGTCGTGTATTTCATTTTCAGTTGTGTAAAAAGTCTTAGATTGATCAAAATGGTTGTATATTATTATTGATTTAGTTTGTACTGTATCTTTATTATAGATCAAACCAAGTCACAAGGTCCCTCCGGTGTCCTGGCACATGCGCCAAGCAAAGAAGAGGATGGAGGAGGACGAAGACGATGACGACGAGGAGGAGGAGGAGGAAGAGGAGGAGGAAAGAAAAGGCTTCCCGGGGTTTCCCATCAGCCAAAGCTCTCCCCCCTCTCCTCCCTCTCCTCCCTCTCCTCCCCCCTCCCTCTCCTCCCCCCCGCTGTCCGCCCCCTGCACCAGAGCAGCTACGCCCGACTCCCCCGACAAACGGAGAGCGCAGACCGCGGGGGCGCCCGCCAAAAAACTGGCCCTGGGGGAAGGTGAAGGACAGCCCGCGGGCGGGACGGCCTCCTAAGATCCGCCCGGTGGAGGACGAAGACGATGAGGAAGACGAGGAAAGGACCGAGGGAGGGAAACACCCCGGCTCTGCCAGCAGCCCCCCCTCCCTTTTCTCCCTGGACAGACAAGCGTCCACCACCTTTCACTCGCTGGACATGGCCCGGCACCCCTCGATAACCCCCACGCGCAGAGGGCGGCCCCCCAGGAAAAAGAGGGGCCCTAAGCCCAGACTAATAGACGGACCTGAGGGGCCGCTGCCTCTGGGGGCCGTCAGGAAGAACAGCTTCACTGAAAGCAGCGAAGAAGAGGATGATGATGATGAAGACGATGAGGAGGATGAGGATGATGAAGAGGATGATGATGATGATGAGAGGAGGGCATGCTCCCCCCCCACACTCACCAAGCCCACCATGTCGCTCAAATGCAAGGTGAGAAACTGACCGTAACTATTCAAATCTGGGAATTAGGATGTTTGCATAGTGTTACACCCAGGGTTCAAAACATCAGCATCAATTAGCATTTAGTTTTGTTTGAATCCATGTCATTAATTATAAAAATCTTTTAACCAGTGTCCTCTAAGTCTGTGGTGTGAGTCGGGTTTTATTAGTTAACATTTGAAGTAACCATGTGCTCATTTCCACACATCTTTTTATATCACTTTTATATACTAAATCTGAAAAGGCTGTCAACAGGCTTAAAACTAAATCTTCTATAAATCAGGCTATCAATGCTAAGAACAAAGCCCACAGTAAAAACCTTCAGAATCAAGATATGAAACTGAGTCATCTCCACTCGAGTAGCACCAGATCAATCTTATGAGCCATTATCTAATGTGCAATTTTGGTGAATTTAGGAGAAATCCACTGAAGCATTTCACAAAGTAAACACCTAAATGTGTATCTTGGATGCTTTTTGTAGTGTCTTTTGCGAAACTCACCTAATAACCCGCCCTGTTTTTACCCAGAAGCCACTGAGAAAGCGTCGTTTTCGGCAGCGCAGCCACCCTCACAGCAGCGTGGTGACGGAGACCATCTCTGAGACCACGGAGGTGCTGGACGAGCCCTTCGTAGACTCCGACTCAGAGAGGCCGATGCCCCGACTGGAGGAGGAGACGCCGCTGGGACACCCACTGCACCGATACCCCCCCAGCCGCTCCGCGCTGAGGCTCTCGGACCCCGCGCCCAAGAGGGGCCGACACCCCCACCTCTCAGACTCAGAGGAAGATGGTGAGCAGACGGCGTTTCAGTGCCAAAGTTGGCAAGATTTAGTGATGATTGAGTTGTGTAATCAATGTTTATTTATATAGCCCAATATCACAAGTGTTACATTTGTCTCAGTGGACTTCACAGTTTGTACAGAATATCAGTTTGACAATACGACACCCTCTGTCCTTAGACCCTCACATCGTACAAGTGTAAATACTGTAGAGCTACAATGACGAGTCGATAAATAATGACTATACATATTGATAATGAAGTGTTTTTTGTATTTAATGCTGGCAGAAGAAGCAGCCTCTCACATGGATATTTTCTGCTTTTATAGACGATTTAGGAAATTCAGAACAGTTTTTACTTTTTTATTGACCAAACCTTTAATTGTTCTAGGAGATAAAAGACAAATCCATGGATGATGAAAGTCTTTGTTAGCGTTATCTAACTGTCTTCTCTCCTTGTCTCTCTCAGAGCTCACGCCTGTGCTGAAGCCTGTGGCTGCTCTGCAGGCAGCTCCATCAGAGACGCTGTCGGCTAACCCCGAGGTCCCAGTGAAGAAGAAGAAAGGCTGGCCCAAGGGAAAGAGCCGCAAACCCCTGCAGTGGAAGAATCAAGGACCTGAAAAACCCCCCGCAGCTGGAGAAGGACTGGCGCAAAGTGGGGATCCCCCACCCCCCAAAATCAAAATGAAGCCTGGCCGCAAGCCCCGAAGCTGGTACCTGCAGCGGGCCCAGGAGGAGGCGGAGAGGCAGGAGAAGGAGACACAAAGGCTGCAGGGTCTGGAGAAGGAGCTGCTGCAGACAGACGACCGCAGCAAGCAGCGCAGAGCCAACAGCAAACAGAAAGACTCGGACGACGAAGACGACTATCTGCCTAAGCCTGTGGAGCAGAAAGTGCCCAGGAAGAGAGGAAGACCGCCTAAGATCCGCAGCCAGCCCCCACAGCCCGCCCCCAAACCGACTCCCACCTCCGAGCCAGAGGAGGAAGAGGAAGAGGAAGAGGAGACTGAACAAACCTGGGAGGAAGACAAACCCAGCTGTCCTCCGTCCCGCCCCTTGCTGTCCCCGTCTTCCTCTTCCTCCACCTCAGGGCCCCGGGCCCCACCGTCCCAGCCTCAGGACACAGACATGGGCGACAGGGAGGAGGAGGAGGACGAGGATGAGGAGAGGGAGGAAGAGGAATGCAGGAGCACGGGGAGCGGCGGTGGCGGCAGCATCAACAGGCGAGCCGCGGTCACACCGGGTTCAGGAAGTAGACGCAGCGAGGATCACGACGCAGACGACGAAGGTGACGGACACCTGGAGGACAAGAGCAACGGCAGCAAGAAGAGGAAGAGCCAGGACTCTGAAGATGAGGACGAAGACGAGGAGGAAGAGCCGGCCTCCCGTGCCAGCTCCCCTCCGGTCAAAGAAGAACCCCAGGGCGGAGAGGCTTTTTTGGACATGGAGAACAGCGTGGCCCGCGACTACGTCAGCAAGCAGGAGGAGGAGGAAGAGGAGGAGGAGGAGGAGGCTGAGGAGGAAGGGCAGGAGGTCAAGACTCGGCCCTCGTCAGCCGACCCGCAGCAGGAGGAGCGGCGGCGCCGGGAGCAGGAGGAGTCGGCAGCGGCGGCCGCAGCCGTGGAGACCGTCACCGCCATGTCTGCTCCTCCCGAGCCCATGGAGCTGCAGCCGCTGCACCAGGAGGACAAAGAGGTCACGCTGTTGATGGAGCCCCAACACCCCCACCCGCACTCCTCTCACCCCCACCCGCACTCCGAATTCAAGGAGGAGCTGGGCCACCATCAGCAACACCACCCCCATCACCACTCCAACGAGCTGGACCTGGAGACCATGCAGGCCGTGCAGTCCCTGACTCAGGGGGAGGCGCAGGACGAGGAGGCGGAGCCACAGCCGCACCACGGGGCCTACCAGGACTGTGAGGAGACCCTCGCCGCCTGCCGGACCCTGCAGAGCTACAGCCACGCGGGGGAGGTGGAGGAAGAGTCTCTGGCGTTGGTGGAGGACTGCGGGGCGTCCCAGCACAGCAGCCCCCTCCCTAACCCCAGCGCCACGCCGCTGCCCAGTCAGTCCGTGCGCTCTGTGAACAGCCCGGGGTTAACCTCCGGGATCATGGACACCACTCCTGCGGGGCCTAGGGGAGGAACCCCTGGACCCACGGGAGCAGGGGGCGGAGCAGGAGGAGCCGGAGGGGGAGGCTACACCCAGATCACACCGGAGCATCCCAGCTCTCTGTCGGCCCCCTCCCAGCAGAACATGGAGACTTCACCGATGATGGACGTGCCCTCGGTGTCAGACCACTCCCAGCAGGTGGTGGACAGCGGCTTCAGCGACCTGGGCAGCATCGAGAGCACCACGGAGAACTACGACAACCCCAGCAGCTACGACTCCACCATGGGCGGGACGGGGAACGGAGGGGGGATGTCGGCCGTAATGGCGGGAGCTTCCTCATCGTCGGCCTCGTCTTCTTCAAACTCGGCGACCCCGTCCTCCTCACAGTCCAACAACTGCTCCTTTGCCCCCGCCCCCAGCCTTACCTCCTCCACAGGAAGCGGAGGGTCCCAACATGGGATGGGCAGCTGCAGCCTCATCCAGCAAACAGGGCCCAACACTGGACCTGGAGCCGGTAATGTGGGCGGTGCTGTGCCCCAGCCCCCGCCTCCTCCACCACCGTCCATCACCCCCAACTGCGGCATCAAGTCTCCGCAGAGCTGTGTGATCGAGCGGCCCCCCAGCACCAACCACCAGCAGCAGCAGTCACAGAAGAAGGTTGCTCATCAGCAACAAGCCTCCAACCCCTCACCGTCCGCTCCTACACCACAACAGCAGCAGCAGCAGCAGCAACAACAACAACAACAACAACAACAGCAGCAGCAACAACAACAACAGCAGCAGCAGCATCAACAACACCAACAGCAACAACAACAACAACAACAGCAGCAGCAGCAGCAGCAGCAGCAACAACAACAGCAGCAGCAACAGCAGCAGCAGGCCCTGTCCCAGTGCAGCATGGGTAATGGCTTTTCCTCCACCCCCATGATCATGGAGATCCCTGAGAGTGGCGGTGGAGGGGGAGGCCGCACCCTGTATGAGCGCATGGGTCAGGACTTTGGCACGGGGGGCTACCCTCAGCCCTCTGCTACCTTCAGCCTGGCCAAACTCCAACAGCTCACCAACACCATCATGGACCCCCACGCCATGCCCTACTCTCATTCGGCCTCCGTCACCTCCTACGCCACCAGCGTGTCCCTCTCCAACCCCGGGCTGGCCCCGTCCCCCCACGCCCCGCTCTCTCAGGGCCAGCCCACCATGACGCCCCCCCCTAACCTCAGCTCCGGCTCCATGAACCTGGGCTCGCTACAGCTTCAGTGCAACATGCCCAGCGCAAACCTGGGTCTGGGGCCCCCGCCTCACACGCAGCGGCTTCAGGGCCAGATGGCGACGGTCAAGGGCCACATCTCCATCCGCTCCAAAGCCACGCAGCAGCTAGCCCCCGCCCCGCACCAGCAGCAGCTGTATGGCCGCAGCTCGGGGCCCGTGGCCATGCAGGGCGGCCCCCGCACCCTGGCTGTTCAGCGCGGCATGATGCCCAACCTCATGCCCACGCCGGCGCCCTACAACTCCATGAACATGCCGCTGAACGCCATGTCTGCCGGGTACCGGATGCCCCAGCCCATGATGAACAGCGGCTACCACGGCAACCCCCCTTACATGAACCAGCCGGCACAGTACCCCATGCAGATGCAGATGGGCATGATGGGCGGGCAGGGATATCCCCAGCAGCCCATGCAGCCCAATCACCACGGCAACATGATGTACACAGGCCCCACCCATCACAGCTATGCCGGTGTACCCAAACAGTCGCCGTACATGAGCAGATGAGCAACAGAGACGAGGGAAAAATGATACTCGCTGAACTCTAAATGTCCAAATTTCTCCTGTTACCCTCTCCGGGGCTGCGGCAGGCGCCGGGGGGGCGGAAGTGACGGAGACACAGAGGGTCTATGGGTTTCCTGTTTTTCTACGTTGTCATTTTGTCCATTTTCATTTGGGCTCCCCTCCCCCTCCTAGCAAGCAAGTGGCTGGGGCTCCCGGTTTAGCGGGTTGTGTGAACATGGACCTTCTGCTGCAGGCCCACACACTCCTTCGTCATGTGATCTTAACACAGGCCCGGGAGAGCGGGGGGACAGGAGGTAACGCGGAGAAAGACAATACAGGAGAACTTCGCCTCTTCAGACTGCGAATGAAAAACAGTGGTTTACTGAATATATTCAACCATGCACACAATCTTTTAATTGATATAGGAAGCCTTACCTTGGAAAAAAAAGAGACATTCTGTGCAAATCGTTTGTTTTGTTAAACATATTGTTGAATCTTATTTTCGTTGTCGTTGTTTTCGTTGTTTTTTTTTTTAAAATACTTGTGTGCAGTCCGACCTCTTATATGCTTTGGTCTTTATATGTGTGGCATTCTGAAAAGGTGATACACACCCTCTCGCTCTCAGAAACCCCCGACACGTCTCTGCCGGGCGGCTTTTCACCCGGTTCCAGAAGAAGCATCGGAGCGGGGCCTCCAGGTGTGCGAGGTGTCGAGCTGTTCCCAGAGTCTTCCCGGATCCATCTTGTTCTACCAAAAAAACAACAACAGCAAAGACACAGACGTTACTGTCTGTTGAATGAAACAAGTAGCATTATTTTCCAGTTTGCCGCCACTCCTAGATGTAAATATTCTGGTACTTCCCAATATCCAGCACACACACACATACACACACTGGCTAGTGCTAATTGGTAGCTAGCTCAGGAAAGTAAAACCTTCAGCTGTTCTTGTTCACACTCCACTGACAGACGGCATAATATGTCAGCCTTTTTTAGCAGTTTACAGAACAAACAGTGGAATTTCCATTGAACTGCTTTAATGAAAGTCGGTCAGCTGAAAGTGTATGCGACCCAGAGAGGTCTGCTTTTGAATGGTGTATTCTGTTAAAACTGTATATTTTTCGTATTTTTTTGCTGCATAAGTCTGCACTCCCATTAGCTAGACGTATGGCGGGACAGTCGGCCTTTATAAAAGGTGCCTAAAGCCTGATCTAGTGCGCGGATTGGCCCTCACTCAGAGGCACGCTCGTATAAAGCAGGGTCGGAGGAAGAGTTCGAGGTTCTGTTGGTTGACTCCATGTTCCAGTATTCAAAGTCAAAAGAGGAGATTTCTCATTTTTTCTTACAGACCTGGCATTGCATACTTTATTTGTGTGTATTGTTCTCTACTTTATTTTTGTGTTCCTTTTTTGTTTCTGAATTTGATCAGACTGGGCAGCTTTCTTTTATGACACGAGCTGACTCTTTTTGACTTTAGAAAAACCTATTGTAGAGAAAATGTTTTTTCTATAATATAAAAAGGAAACTCTGACATTGATATTGGTACTGTCATTTTTTTCACTTCTGTTTCAGGAAAAAAAAACAATACATATTTTTTAGCTCGCCTCTTGGGTAATGATTACTAAGAAATTCAAAATTTAAAAAAATTACCACTCACTTTTAGCGACTTTAAGATGCCTTTAACCTCTCCATTCCATCTCATCTCTAGAGTTTTCTATCTTTGTGTAGTATATTAATGCTATTTTAAACAAAAGGACTACAAATATCTAAAGGTCACTTGGCATTCTTTTCTTTTTTTACTTGTGTGTGTATAGGATGACTTCCTTACATTTAAGAGGCATGTAAAAAGGAGCTCAGTATATTTCTGTCTGTTTATATCGCTTCCCTTTTTGTATCCTTTGTAATTGTACATGTTGCGTTGTATGCTAACAGAGAGCGCAAAATAAAGAGACGAGAGACAGCAGTGAAGGCGGCCTCCACTCTCTTCTCTCTCCCTGTATGTATTTCCATTTATTCTGTTTTTTTTTCTTTCTTTCTTAGCAAGTACTTTCAAAGAACTCTGTACATTTTAACATAAAATGAAAATAAATTATGTTGAGCCATTCATGTTTTCGTTGAGATTTTTACAGTTCCATCTTAGTCAATTCAACCAATAAAATAGTATCAGTTCATAAAGATTCATTTGGCGACATTTGGCTTCTTATTTTTCAGTATTCAGATATATATTAATGCTAATACAAATGCTGGAAATGCTGCTCATATAATAAGTCAATAAAATGCAGACACTTAAGAGTCTTAACTTGAAAAAAGTCCCTGTTTTAACAAATCTATCCACATCTTTGATCCAACAGCCATTAGAGGGTAAAATACATCTCGAACCCTATGTGCTTTTTAATATCAGGATAAATGCCTCTCTTGTTTCCACTACACACTTATCTTTGACGTCATCCTAGCACTTCGTATATATACAAAAATGATAGTTTTGTGGGGGTTTTCAACTTAAAAAATAATATAACATGTAAAGGTAAACCAACTGGCAAAAAAAAAGCTCTGAAATTATGGAAATGAAAAAACATTATTTAGTACATATGGTCAGTTTTAGGAGGAAGACATTTTTGACCTTTCCACAAGGTTTACAGCCCTCTCCCACATTTTCGCAGCGGCAGATGCGGCGGAACACTGTACAAATCCCGTTTCAATAATTCCCCTCTACTCTAAAGTCGCATCTAAAACGCGATCTGATCTAGCTGTGTATATTTTGTTATTTTTGATTGTTAGCCTATATTCAATCTCAGTAGCTACACACATTTTTTAAGCTTGTAAAGGGAAGACCACAGCTCGCCTCTCACTGGGCACTCTGATCTTCCACAGCGCCGCTCCCCCTCCCTCCCGCTGAAATTATGAATGTAAGGCATATAGTAATCATAGATAACAGGGTCCGTTACAGTTTGTTTTCATCTGATTTCAAATAAACAAAGCCTTGGCTTTCAGAATATTAAACTTGTTTCGGCAAATTCAGACGATAAATAGGCTACAACTTTGAAGCTTGTAACGGCATAATTACAAGCGGAGAACGGAATAACTTGACGTCACAGCAGGCGTAACAACAGCCGGTGTTTCTCGTGAGTGTTTTCCCCGGGAAACAAACACAATACACACAAACGTAAAAATACACAAACACACGTATACAAACACACACA